ATCTGTAGGAAATCGTGCATTTTGTCGTACAAATTTGTGCGAAACGAAACGTAGGTTTAACTTAGTGCGAACATTTGCACAAAAACATACAAATACATTTAATGTGAACGTTCTCAATGCGATTCGCACATTTTATTATACCTGTCGACACCTCCTGCGCACAACAGGCAGCTATCTTCTTGGGCTGCGCATACAGGCAGCTATCTCCCTCAGGGTGGCGGTCAAGCATCTACCTGTATTTGTGGGGGTTGAGGTAGGGGTTAGGCCAGTGGGGTATCTTCTGGCATCATAAATGGCTTCCGGATACAACATCACTTACCGGTAAAGAGCTATCGGTTTTCGGCTGGCTCTATCTATCACCTCACCTGGTCACGCTTTCTTTAGGCGGCAAGCACCTGATTTGGGCTTTGGTTGTCCACAGCGAAGATACCGAGCTTTCACCGAGCAGGTGGGCCTGTCCACAAGATTGGCAACAGGTGGCACTGTGCAGATGTGTTATAGCCGGCGCCGAATTGACCATCAGTTAATCGAGTTAGCGGGATTACCCACACGCTTGGCTACAATTTCGAACACTTGCCAAAAAGGTGTGAATCCGCCTGCGAGGTAGGCACCACCTATACACACATGCATTGTGGCTGCCTACCTGGCAGGCGGATTCACACCTTTTTGGCATTTTTTCTTTTCCACGCCCACACCCGACGAGTGTTAGTGGCATGCTATACGGCGTTTAAAAGGGCATATTCTGCCCGACATAAGGGCACGAAAAAATCACTCACTCAATTTGGATTTTTTTCTGTCAATCTTGACTTTCGTATTTAGGTCCCTGCATGTGACGGGGGTAGGCCGACAGCGGATATTGGTGGTTGAGCCGAAAGTAGGAGTCATATGGACCTGCCTCGGAAGTGAGTCACTCCTTTCGGCACCGCGGGGTGCGCGTGGCGAGCGCTCGAAGACGGGACAAAACGCCCATCGGGCGCCCGAAAAGGGCGTTTCGAAAAGACCCATAAGCTCACTGGCGCTTCGTCGCAGAGACGTCGGACTAAGACCAAAGGTTGCGTCTAGTCAAAATCTATCGTTTTAGGCCCGAACCCCGACAACTTTGTACTTTGGCCTTCAATATAGAATTTGGAATGGGCTAGTCCACATGTGTGTAAGCTAAATTGACCAGTTAATGGAGCCAGCGGGGCAGTTTACACGAGCCAGTGGATTTACTCTGATTGATGAAAAGAGTAAATCCAGGCGAGAGAAACGACCCAAAGTCAGCAACACAGCTGCTACATATAAATATACACATATAATATAAGAGGTTTCTGTTATTTATAATGCAAGAATGTCAACTTACCCGTAAGTTGTTGATATCCATTCATTTCAGCCATGTCGAACAGCTTCCAGTCCAGAGGCGGATCTGGCTCGCAGTTGGGGGGGGGGGGGCAAAACACGCGGTTTGCCTACTTCCAGGGGCACTTTTATATGATAAAATAACAAATAACTTATTTCCGTAATTTGTATGATTTAAGGTCTCAAATTATTTTGTGGTGCATAGTGAAATGTCCCTCTTTTGATATTTATTTTTAAACTGCAAGTACCGTGGTGCATACTTAAAGTTACAGCGAGCGGAAATTTTCGTATTTCGGCGCCCTTTAGTGGCAAATTTAAACGATCAAATTTCGTATGATATGCTTCAAACGAGTGAAAAACCTAAGCTTAAGCTAATGTGGAAGCAGATGATATAGCGACGCGTCCGTGCAACAATATCCTATCTGTTTCGCTGCTCCGAAAGACTAGCCTATCTGTTTTTCGGCGCTCTCTGCAGCGTAACGGTACAGGCTAACAAGCAAGCCCGCCCTTCCGCCAACGCCAAAAGGAATTGCCAGCTCCGCTTCGCTCCGCTGGCAATTCCGTTCGGCTGGCCTGGCATGCCGGCAGCGATGGTCGGGCCTGCGGCCCGACAATTTCTGTCACGCGATTTGTTGAAGAACATAATCAGATACAAAAGGGGGTGGAAAAGAGTCACCAGTAAATAGGGTTGGTCAAAAGGTAGAAAAAAAAAATGTGGTCTCCTAAAGGGTTACTCGTGATAGTAGAACCCTAAGCACGAAGATTTTGTCCGGTTTGCTCTATCTTGCACGGTTCAGGCGTTAGAGTAGGTTTTTCGGCGAATATACGGCGATGATGACCATGTTGCACATAAAGACGTACAAGGAGGCGTCCAATCGTAAAATGTTAGAGGAAGTACCCCCCCCCCAAAAAAAAACAACAAAAAAACAACACATTCTGAGTCAAGAAATGCCCTTGGATTTGCCGTATCTTTAACTGTATCGGAGCTAGACGGATATATTTAAGACAATGAAAAATTGTCAAGTTTGAAGACTGTTTGACAAACAATACACCCCAAAAACTGCGGCTGTTTATTCTGTTTTTCATTATTCTTCAAAAAGCAGAAGGGTGGGGCGTAGTCAAGGTGTTGCCGTGTTGCAGTCTTTTCTTATGTCCAAGGAGCAAATCTTTAGGGCCACAGGCCCTCCGGAAGCCTTAGTTTACGACCCGGCCATTGCCGCCGGCAGGCCAAGCAGGCCCGGCCCCTGCCGAACGGAGTTGCCAGCGCAGCGAAGTGAAACTGACAACTTCGTTTGGCGGAAGGGCGGGCCTGCTTGTTAATGTTGTGAAGGTCACACTCAAGAAGGAATCAAGCACAAAAGTTTTTATGTCTGACATGGCTGGAGAGTTTTACACTGCTTGGCAAAATGTGTTTGGTGAAGCTGACTATAGCCTTTACTGCACATGGCATGTTGACAAGCGCTGGCGCCTGAAAGTTAAAGAGAAAGTGAAGGGTTTGAGTAAGCAGGCAGAAGTG